AGTGCGTGATTGGCCAACACCAGACAATGTAGGAGAGTTAAGAAGTTTTTTGGGATTCTGTACCTATTACCAGCAAGTTTGTGAAGGACTTTGCAACTATAGCTGCTCCACTACATGATTTGACGAAAAAAAGGCCTGAAAAAAAGTTTGAATGGACAGTTTCTTGCCAGCATGCTTTCAAGACATTGCGAGAAAAATTGGCCTCAGCTCCACTTTTAAAGCTTCCAAATCCCTCACTACCGTACATATTGGATTGTGATGCCAGTAATGTCGGAAATGGAGGAGTGTTGACTCAGAAAGTGGGTGAAAACGAACATGTGGTGGCCTACTTCCGTAGGGTCTTGAGTAGACCAGAAAGGAACAACTGTGTAACAAGGAGGGAACTCCTTGCTATAGTAAAGAGACTGACACATTTCCATCCTTACCTCTATGGCGCCAAGTTTACTGTCTGTACAGACCATGCTGCATTACGCTGGTTAAATATGTGGACTACCTTAATGCTAAGCACCCAAATATTAATTTTACCTGCGAGATTGAAAAAAACGGTAAACTACCTTTCCTCGACGTCTTAATTAAAAAATTAGATAACCAGTTTACAACTTCTGTCTCTCGTAAGGAAACATATACAGGTCTACATAGTCGTTTTGATAGTTTTATTCCTAACTCTTTTAAAAGTAACCTCATCCTAAATCTCCTCAATAGAGCATACAACATCTGTTTTAATTATTTCTCGCTCCATGCCGAAATCACTACCCTACAAAACATCTTAACAAATAACGGTTATCCACTCCATTTTACCCAAGCTATAACAAACAAGTTTCTTTCTGAAAAACACGAACCCTCCAAGAAACCACACACTGTTAACAAATTCCAATTACATCTGGTCACTCCCTTCCTAGGAAAACAACCCAACATAATGAAGATCCAAATTGTAAGATCAATCAAAACATTTTATCCACAAATCCAACTACAAATGATATTGAAAACACCCTTTAAAATACAAAACTTATTTAAAACAAAGGACCACTTACTTACCTCCATGCGTTCGAAACTCGTCTAGAAATATACGTGTGTTGGCTGTAATGCCACTTACATTGGTAAAACCACACGCCAATTACACCTACGAGTTTTTGAACATATTGGAATATCGAGTAGGACTGGTAATAAACTATTGTTACGTATCTGCTCGTTCGATAATTTACTCAATTTCCGGTATAAATTCTTTCAGAGGATCTTCAGCGATACAAGTCCTTTCTTAATTAAAACTAGTTTATTCTTTCTCGATACAACTTTCTAATACACTTAACAACCTTTATAACACACTTTATAAATCACAGTGATTCACACACACTTTACTTATGGTGCCTACTGTTAGCTTGACTCAATTATCTTTATCTTCAATCTATCTGCATATCTATCACTTCTTTTACTTGCCGGGCTTACATACTAAAAAAGAGGGTGTCCCGAACAAACTAGGAAATTCACGATCATTCGAGAAACTCCTCGCACATGCCACCAGCGCCAATGCGTGACTTCCGCTGTCGTAACACTATCAAATCCAGCTGAACCAGCAATCCGGTTATATAGTGAAAATAACAACCATCCTATTTTGATTGACAATTTTAAAGTAATTTCGACCGATTCATCCAACACAGAACTTCTCATCAAAGAGAGCTTGTCCATTTTAAATGGACGCCCCACTCTAAACAATAACACAACTTCGTTACAGAAAAGCCTATTATAAATATCCCTAGCACATTGTCAACTACACAGTGTCATCTCCATACCTCCCCTTCTTTACCACACTAGTTTTGTAATATAATTGTTAAAATTTAGTTATTTCCTGTTTAAATCCTGCTGGTTGTTGTTGTTGTTTTCTTTTTTTCTTTCGCCTTATGCTACTATAAATGTTCCAACTGAATGAATATATGTATTTAATACTATCGATTAATTAATACAGTCGCTGAAGATGGAATGTGAATATTCGGAAATGTCCGACGAATAAAGTACATTACCGAAAATAAAGTGTCGAATGTTTGCTATTACCGTCGTTGTACTGATTATTATTAAATTGTTTTAATAACAAATAACTGTTTTATTTGTGACTAATTTCTGTCTATTTTTATAATAAAATTTAATAAAAAGTTTTTGTTGTTAGGCGCTATTTGGTATGGATTTATAAAAATAGGATAAATTATATTTTAATATTTGTTATTATTTAGCTTTCGATAGCTTCGTTTCTATATTGATAATTTTGTATTTTTAAGCACACTTTTTTCCATCTCATCGTATAACTGTTTAAATTTTTGTGAGGAACGATGATTTGAAAAAAACAAACTTTTGTCATTAACCTTGCTGATGGCAAATTGTAAAGTCATCGAAATTTCTTCAACAAGAAAAAGTTATCCAAAATGATGATGTCAAGTTTGAATAACCATGAAGTGATGCGACCTTTCACACATATATATTTTAATTAACCTTTTCGTGACCGGTAGGTGGCGCTATTTTATAGTTATTCACCCGCACAATGAGTAAAAAGTTTGTATGTGTTAAGCACATAACACTGATGTAATTTTTTTAAACATCATACTAATGATATTTCATTTTACACTCTGTAGTATTTACATAGATTTCTTAACATGAAGCTTGTTGATCATGTTGTGCAAAGTTTCTGCGTCGCCAAAGTATTCAGAGAAAATACTGATCGTATCAATAGCATTGATTTCTCGGCAAATGGTGAAACACTGATTTCGAGCAGCGAAGACGACTCCATTGTAATTTACGATTGTGAAAAGGGAACGTAAGTGACCCCAAGCTGGTTGAAAAACAAAATTAAAGAAATATCAATTAAATATATGGAACTGTTTTACTCGGTGATTTGCATAAGTACAGTTCTGCCACTACTAGTTCCTTACGGTTATCCGTGAAAATAATGTTAGGGTCTACTAGTACGTTCTTTACCGCGTTAAGCCTAGTAACCTCGTTGTATATATCTAATATTTATGGCTGTATCTGCTGTTTAATTTCAAACACTGCCGTTAGAGAACGCAACTTGTACCTGCAAGTTTGAAAATGGCATATTTATTTAAAGCAGGGAAGAAAATTGTATGAATAGAAATAAATATTGGTTTAAGATGAAATTATTAAATATAACATTGAAAATTATTATTTCAAGAATTACATCTTGTAGTATTTTATTACATAAGTGAGTGTAGTAAAGGAAATTTTAAAGAAGCTGCACTCTAGATTAATTATATAATATGAGACTAAGCTTTATAAGTGTATTGCACATGTGATTCATAATTTAAAATGCTGGTATAGACAAGATCATATGTAGTATCAATGAAAGAAAGTATAATCATAGAAATTAAGTAAGTAAGAACAGGCCTGAAATATATTTGTATGCAGCTATTTTTTAACTATTTTATGCTTTCATTTTCAAAATTGTTTTTGTCAGAATCATTGTAATTATATGTTGCATTTGATTTTTTTCTTTAATGGGTTTATTTCCACACAAGCCACTACCTGTTAGAAATAATTATATCATTCTAAACATGACCATACTGGGATTAATAAAAGATTTATTAGGGTTTTTTCTTGATCTTCTTTCCCATTGTTAACCACTGTTTTTCCATATTCCCAAATATAAAGTTGAAAAATAAATGTTAAAATGTGAATATTTTGCATGATGAAAACAAAGTATACAGATACTGATTGTTTACAAAATTAACAGTAATTTTTCAAAATATTGCTGTTTTGATACATCAAGTTTCTTCTCAGTTTCAAGAACATTGTATTTAATTTTGCATACCGAAAGGTTCTAGGATCCTGTCAAATTTTTTATTAATCTGTGAACAATAAAGAGGTTCAATTTGCCTATAAAATTGTGCCTGAGTTTTCAGATTATTCTAATAATTTGAGGTAGTGATCATTCCTAACTTTGTTAAACACTCAAAACCTTGGGTTCCTTTTTCCATAATCAGCCTATTCAAACCACAGATCATTATAAATCCCTGAATCCTATACTCTTTTTATTCTCAGTAAGAATATGTTGGATGTTTTAATATGTTATATCCCTACTTATTTCAACTGTGAATCACTTTGCAAGTCTTTCTCTGTACTCTTTATGGCATGTCTTTATTTTACAAGACTAATCTCAACAATGTTCCATAAATAAGTTGTCACAAGTTTTTCTGTTAACTTTCCTCCATTTATCTCTATAAAGTTCTGTTACTAGAACTTAGCACCTTACTTTAAAAAAATTATAATTTATTACAAAACGTTTACTTTTTGTCTAATATTTTAAGTAATACAATTTTTTATTCAGAGTTCTCTTTTAACAGAAGAAAAAATCCATATTCCATTAACCAAGAGTATTGTATTACTATGTATCATAGTAAACCCACACAGTATAAGCATTTTTATATTTATTATAAGCAAAACTACATAACATTGAAAGACATTGGTGTTAATATTGTCATTATAAATAATGAACATCAGGCCCTCTTACTACAGGAAGAATATTAACTTGCTAGTAAACTTCAGAGACAGGCTACTACAATGATTTCTGGTTTAGGAAATTGAATTCATGTAAAGAGGCTTGGAAGTTTAACTTTGTTTTCTCAGAAGCAGAGAGCTATAGGTAATTTGTTACATCTTTAGAATTTTTAAGTACTTAAAAAGTTTGGTTGTTGGTTGTCTACATGTAGTTCAGTTGTGGAAGAAAAAGGTTGAGAATGCAAACTTGAATATTAGAACTAAAGTTTAACATTTGACAATGAGGTCTTGATTTGTTTTTTATCAAAATATTTCTCTTAGGTTATAAACTTTTAGAAGAGTTTGTATGATGTGGCATGCTTGTTTGCATTTGTTGAAATTAGAAACATAGAATTACCAGTAATTAAAGAATGGTAATAATGTTGGAAATATTGTCGATAATATTACTCATTGTGATAATTAATAAATTCTAGCATTTCAAGAACAATACAGTAAAAAGACTATTGTTTTAAATGTTTTAAAGTGCATTTCAGAGAAAGAAATAATTATTGAAAGTTGAGTATTTTATTCAAAATTATAACATATTTATATTTTACTAATTAAGCACTTGTTACTGATTTGAATATTGATATAGTAAGTTATTTAAGTAAGTGACAAAACATTTGCTCTGTTAAAATAAGCTACTAAACTAAATACAGCAGTAACTGAGTTATCATTTTATTATCACTTTTTATTTCACTATTTACACACACACACACACACAAGGACAACAAGGAACCACTTGGCCTTTCAAGGCTGACCTGGTACCACCACCCTTGAGGAGTAACCATTTAAATACATACTTTTCAGGAAATCATTTCTACCCCTCTTAAACTCTTATATGGTGCAGGTCTCCACTACTGCCAATGGAAACTTCTTTCATAAACTAATGATCCTGTTAGAGAAATAAAACTGTCTTAACTGGAGCCTAGCCTATGTTCAACTTGCTTCCTCATATCCTTGTACTCAGAAATATGGCACAAAAAAATCAGGCCTTCATCTTACAATTTCCCAGGATATTCTTGTGAACATCAATAAGACTACCTCTAACCTTTCTTTTTTTACAAAAGATTTTAACCTATCCACATAACTCTTCCATCTGTAGAATCATCCTAGTAGCTGTAGAAGTTAATTTCTTTTCTTAGATAAGGAGTCCAAAACTGAACACAGTATTCCAAATGAGGCCTAACTAGTGATTTGTATATATAAGTAATTACGTCTCTTGACTTGTAATCATTTTGTTTATAAATGTGTCTTAAGAGTGTATTAGCTCTTTCAGCTCAGGCTCTGGGACCAACCTCATAACCATTTTGTGCTTGTTATAGTTTTCATGCTATAACTTTCAAATTAGTAAGTGAATGTTAATGAAATTTTGTACATTATTGGTAAACATTACAAAGCTTTCATACCCAAATATCAAATTCTTTTATTGAGTCTTAAAGTTTCTAAAATAATGTTTTTCTCATGCCTTTTTTTCTTTCCACATGTTGCCTATCTAACATGCAAAGTAATTTTCATTTTAAGATTAAAAATACTTTTATGCATCAGAATATTTTCAAATTTCACATGCAAAATCTTTACAATGTCCAGGTATCAAATGTTTCTTAAGAAAAAACTTTATTATAATATATATTTTATGTTATATTCAATAATGAATCTCTGTATGGGTTTGGTAGATTTGACTGATCCTATAACCACAAAAAATTAGGAAATAAATATAAATTATTCCTCTTTTACTCTAGAATGAACACAGATTATAATACAAAAACATAAATGTTTAGACTAAATAGCTTAAATCTCATAACATTATACATTTATATATAAATTTATTATTTTTATTATATTGACCTTTCAGCCGTGGCTGGCTAACATTACAGAAGTTACAATGATGCACCATCCGTGCACTCATGTTACCGTAACTGATAACACTGACCTTTGATCTGCATAAAGTAACTTGTTTTGGCTGTGTTTTAGTAGACTAGTATTTTGTAAAATACAGTCACATTTCAATTATTATACATTTTATATGTATATAGATTATTGCTATTGTG